ACCCGGGGGCGGCGCCTGCATGACCGGCCCCCTCGGTCTTCCGCAGCGCGCCCATGCCCTACCTCATCGGAGTGCACGCCAGCCTCGCCGAGGTAAGTGGGAACGGACCTGGATGGCAGGGTTGGGTGGAGTGCCCCCCTGCACCCCCAGGTATCCTCCCCTGTCGGGGATCCTCGGGCTCTGAGCGGCCATCGCCACTCCAACTCCCTAACACAGAGAGTGCGGGAGAAAGCTCTGGAGGACGTCGTGATGATGAACGTGGACTCCAATACCTTGGAGACGCCCTTCGACGACGTACAGGCACTGCCCCCAGATGTGGTCAGTGACACCCCCTTCCACCCTCCTGCCGCATCAGGGAGACGAGGCTCCGCACCCGCCTGCTCAGCGCTGCCCCCTTGTCCTCCAGGTGTCTCTGCTGAGGCTGCGGCTAAGGAAGGTCGCGCTGGCCCCCGGGGAAGGGGTGTCCCGTCTCTTCCTCAAAGCCCAGGCCCTGCTCTTCGGGGGGTACCGCGATGCGCTAGTCTGCGGCCCGGTGAGCTTCGGGGACGCAGAGGGAGAGACCCCGTGGGTCCCTGAAGGATTCAGAATAAGAATACCTAGCGTTTATGGAGTGCTTACTCTGTGCCTCTGTTTGCTCATCTGTAAAATGGGATCCCAACGGTACCCACCCAAAAGGGTCGCGTGAGTCTGTAAATGGACACAAGCAAAATGCTCGGTTACTGCCTGGCACATCACAATGGATAAATGATAGGTTTTACCGCTGCGATTATCATTTCACTTAATGCTCACAACAGTATTATGAGACGGATACTCTTATGGTCCCATTCTACATATGAGGAAACCAAGGCTTGGAAGCCCCACAGCGGGTGAGTGTTGAAGCCAGGACTCTGATCTGCTGACTTTCAACCCTGACATCCCCTCCTCCCCAGTTTTTCACAACTATTCTATAAAAACATGGTCAGGGAATTCTATTATCTGAGAATCTGATGTTGCTTTCGACTCTGCCCTGAACACAGCCGGAAGCTGTCCATTTCTCCCCCTTCTCTGTCTCCACCACGGCCTGGTCCCCATTGTTGTTTGCCTGGATCAGCGCGCTCGCCCGTCACCATAAGTCCCCTCTCGCGGACTCCCACCCTCACGCGCTCCGCAGTCTGACCTCCGTGCAGCCGCCAGAGGTCACCTGGGAGCGTCTGAGTCAGGCCCCGCCCCCTCCTCTGCCCACCGCCTTCCCAGGGCTCCCACCTCCCTCGGGGTAAAAGCCCAAGTCCTCCCTGCAGCCCACGAGGCCCTGCACGACATCAGGCACACAGATGGAGGCGCTCCATCAATGTTTGCTACACAGATGTAAGGTAGAATATGGGAAGCAGAATAAGGGATCCTGGAGAGCCGCGGGGAGCTTAGAATCCGAGTCCTTCTTCCAGGGCCAGCCTGTAACCTTCAGTGAAGAAGCCTTCCTGGCCCAGAAACCCGGGGCGCCGCTGCAGGCCTTCCACCGGCGGGCTGTGCACCTGCAGTTGTTCAAACAGGTGCGCCAGAATCCGGAGGGCGGGGCTGGGGCCGGAGGGGCGAGGCTAGGGGCGCAGACGCCCGGATCCCGGAGGCCGAAGCCGGGGCTGGAGGGGCGGACGCCTGGACCCAGTGGGCGGGGCGACAGTTGGCCCGGCTGGATCCCCCACTCCAGGGTCTCCGGGGTGGGAGAGACAGGACTGAACTCTTGGGTCCATAAAAATGGGAGCCCCTGATCTGAGTTCCCAGGGATAAGATCTACCTCTAGGTCCATGAGGAGGTTGGGATGGAACGAAATTATTGAGTCCCTAAGGCGGGAACCTCCTGGATCGAGGGTGAAGGGAGAGGAGGCTGGACTCTTGGATTCTAGGGACGTAGCGGGGGAGGTGGAACCGGACTCCTGGGTTCTCGGAAGAACGTGGGATGAACTTCAGGGTCCTTCAGTGCGGGCTGGCTTCCAGGGTCCCTGGAGGTGGGGTCGACCTCCTCCAAGGTCACTGAGAGGAGGGGGGCCTGTCTGGAGTCCTACTCCTCCGACCCTGAGAGGAGCAGGGTCTGGTCCCTGAAGACAGATCTTGACTTGGGGTGGGGACGGGCGGGGAGACGGTGGACCTCTGGCTTCCTGAGGTGGGCTCCAGGCTCCTGGGGCCTAAGGTTGGGTTTCTGGAGGGGCCGGGGATGGCTTCTACGTCTTGAGGGCGAGCGGATCCCCAGTCCTCGCATTCAGATGTTTGGGGTACCCTGATTCTCTGACCCTTTGCCCCACCCCCCAGTTCATCGAAGGCCGACTGGAGAAGTTGAACACGGGAGAAGGCTTCTCAGACCTCTTTGAGCAGGAGATCACCTGTAGCGGGGCTTCCTCAGGTGAGCTCTGCACCTGGCACCCCCCCCTACACACACACCTGTGGCCCAGTCTGAGCCTGCCCACCCTGGCAATGCTCTCTCCTCTCTCCTCTCTCCAGGGACCCTTCGCTCCTACCAGCTCTGGGCAGACAACCTAAAGGTAGTAACACCGAACCCTTTAGTGTTTATTGAGGGATTAAATCCAACCTACCACCGTCCCTACTATGCTCATTTATAGATAGAGGTGAAGAAGTCAAGACTCAGAGAGGGAGAGGGGATTCTCCAGTGACACACAGCCCGGGTGGGCAGGTGGGGTCTGGGATAACCCCACGTGCCCAAGCCTCTCTTCCTTGGCTTTCTCTCCCCAGAAAGGTGGTGGTGCCCTCCTGCATTCCGTCAAGGCCAAGACCCAACCAGCCGTCAGAAACATGTACCGCTCGGTGAGGCTGGGCTGGACAGGCCACTTACCAGGGTGACAAAGGCAGAGGACGGTTTAACCCCACGTTTAGAGCACACACAATTTATCAGAACTAAACCAGCAGTTAAATCATTTACCATGTTTCCTACTTTTATTTTCCATTGACTGTGTTCATTCATTTTTGTCGCATCAGGTCTTTCCTATTTAAAAATGACAACCAAGCTTCTTTGGCAAACATCTTTTGTCCTGAGACACCACAATCCCAGCTTCTGCCCTTGTGGTTGGTTTTTCCCCCAAGCCCCAGATTTTCCTGGGACCAACTTCCACAGCTCGCAGTCGTCTGCTGGGTTTTATTCTTTGCTCGGCTTTTGAACGCTGACTCACTTTTACGACGTTCTGGCTTTGCCATTCCCTGTTTCATTTGGGGGTTATCTCCTCCAGTGACATTCCTTCTGTGTTAGTCAAAGGGGCAAGTTGGTATTGACTTCTTAGGGGGTACCGGGGGAACCTGAATATATTTTGAGACACACATGAGCAGATGGCAAGACAAAAGTGTCTTCGCGGATGGAGGGCTGAGTTCTCAAATGTCCAGGGTCAGATCGCTCTGGATTCTCAGTCTCTTTCGGCTCCTCCGTAGGCGAAGAGTGGCTTGAAGGGTGTGCAGAGCCTTCTGACGTACAAGGTAAAGCCGGTAGCCAACGCCGCGGGGCAGCGGGGGGAGGGGCTCCTGGCTCACCCACCCTCTTCCTAGGATGGGGACTCTGGCCTGCAGAGGGGGGGCTCCCTGAGGGCCCCTTCCCTCACCAGCCGCTCAGATTGCCTGCAGCAGCGCTTGCCTATCACCCAGCACTTTGGACAGGTAAGAGCCCCGCCCCCGCGCCCACGCATGTACCTGGACTTATCACCAAGCCCTTCTCCCATCCGGTCTCCAGCCAGACATCTCGACTACCCCCAAAATGGGGCGCCCACTCCCCCCTTCACAGAACCCCCTGATTCTGTAGCTCCTGAGGCCCCAGCCCCCAAATCTATCCTTTGCAGAACCGGCCCCTTCGCCCCAGCAGGAGACTCCAGCGGGAAGAGAGACCTTCTGAGTCCCTGGGGGAGGAGTAAGACTCCAAGGCAGAGGGAGGGAGCAATGTTGGAAGTGGGGGGCCGGGACTCCTGGGGAAGTGGGCCCCAAAACTCCAGACCCTTCAGAGCAGCTGGTCTGGGGCAGATATCTGAGGCTGCCCATCCTCACCCAGGACACCCTCTCTGAGCCCCGAGGATGCCCAGGGACCGTTGGCAGAGGAAGCTCTGGATGGCAGCTTCCTTGGGTCCGGAGAAGAACTGGATTTGCTGAGCGAGATTCTGGATAGTCTGAGCGTGACGGCCACCCGGAACAGCAGCCTGCGGCCAAGCCAGAGTTTGGACTGCTGCCACAGCCTGGTGAGAGCCCCCCCCCAGCCCTCCCCCATTTGCTCATCCAACCTGCCGGCCCCTCCTTCATTTAAAGGCCAGCAACGCGCCCATCTCCCCATCCCCACCCAGCCCGACATACCAGGGAGATGGAGATGGCAAGCGGATGACGAGAAACCACCAGGGCCCCAGCCCCTGTCCCTTTCTGTCGGCCTGCCGCCTCTGCACACCCCCCAGCCTTCAGATGCCACGAGCGCCTCGAAGCACCCCACTTCCCAGCTGCCCTCAGAGGCCAGCCCAGAAATCATTTCTCCGTCCCAGTCTTCGACAGCTTCTGCAGACCCAAGCAGCAAAGGGGACCCCAGCTCCTCTCTCACAGAGCCCCAGCCTCTATGCCTCTCCCCTCCCCACGAGGCAACCCAGGATCCCACAGCCCAGGAGAGTCCCTGCTCCCAGCTCTCCACAGCACCCAGCCCTCGAGAAAGCCCCCCACTTCTGACCCCCACAAAGCCCAACTCGGATATTACCTGGACATCCCAAGTCCTTGATTCTTTCTCGGATCCCGGTTCCCCAGAGAACCCCAGAGCCCAGCCTTCGGAAGTCCTGCTCCCAGAGCGCACGCACCTCCAGCCCCACGAGGAGCCGGGAGCGCCTAGGTCCCCTGATCCTCCTGCTGGGTACTGGCGGGGGCTCCAGGCCAGGAGCCGGCCCAGGGTTGCTGAGCTTAAAAAGTGTTTTGAAGGTTAAGCATCAGGGGTCTGGAGGAGACCCTGGCCCCTCAATAAAGCTGCAAGAGCCCAAAGCTTGCTTTTCCTGGTGGGTTTACCTGGGAGCCCTGTTTCTGCTCAGACACCCACCCCGCTCCCCACCTTCCCTCCCAAAGCAGCCTCCGGCTGGCTCTTAGGTGCAGCTAAAAGCCTTTCCCTTCCAGGAAGCCCTCCCAGCCCCTAGGACCCTAGAGACCTTACAATTCATCTCTCAACAGCCTATGTGTCTCCTCCATCTAGGCTAACTCCTGCCCCCACCAGCTCACAAAAAGGTTTTATTACACCGCTCTACCCATTGTATAGATATATATAAAGTAAGCAGCCTCAGTCTCCCTTTTCTTCAAAGGCAGAGTCTTTGAAGCACCTTCTTCCCTTCTATTCTTAAGCGCTGGGTGTGTCTGACTGCCCAGAGAGGTCTCTGCCTTCCCCCAAGGTCACACAGCCAGGAAGGGTGATGGGTCCTTCACCCTTCACCAGATGGGGACCCAGATGGGCACCCAGATGGGCAGGCAGCCCCGCACCGTCTCCTTGGAGTCCTGGGGAGCCTGGGCCTCGGCTGCATGGGAGAACTGAAAGGAAAGGAGAGGGGGGGGTGTCGGGCCTGTGTGGCAGGCAGACAGATGGCTGGTGGTGCGGCAAGCGGGGAGGCAGGTCCGCAGCCCCGGCACCCCAACTGCAGGCAGAGTCAAGCAGAGGCGGCATGCTTCGCAGAGCCCGCCCGGCAGGTGCCCCGTGGCCCCCCCGAGTCCTCCGGAGCCGTCAGAGGCTGGTGTGTCGGTGGCAGCTGCTGCGTGCAGCTGAGCGCCGGGCAGTCCTGAGCAGTGCAGGCAGCTGTGGCCAGCCCCAGCATTCAGATGAGCCGCTCCTCAGGCGGCAGCTTGAGGTTGGGAGGCGGTGGAGCTCGGGCACCCACCTGCTCCTCGCTGCTGGGCCGGTAGGTGCCCTCCGTCTGCCGCTTCTCCCGAAGCTTCCGCACCAGAAGTACCAGGCCCACGGCCAGGAGCAGGGCGGCCAGGAGGGAGAAGACCACGATGATAGCAATGGTGGCCTCCTGCGACTGTTGGCGGGGGATGGGGGGGGACACAGGTGTGACCCACCTGAGCTTGGGCATCCCGTCCACCCCCGCCTGAGAATTATCTGGAAACGCTAATCCCCTCCCCCCGCACCCGCCACTTTTGGTGACTGGCTTCCTCCACTCAGGGTTCCTGACCCCCATCATATCCCAGGCTCCCCCACCTGCCATGTCTGGGGTCCTTCTCCCAAGCGCCTGCCGCATCTAGGCTCCTAGATCCCTCCTCCCCCTGCCTGTGAGGTATAGGGGGCTCCTGGACCCCTTGCCAAGCATGGTATTCTTTTTGTGTGTGTGTGTGTGTGTGTCTTAGTTCCCCAACCAGGGATCCAACCTGTGCCCCCTGCATTGGAAGCGCAGAGTCTTAACCACTAGACCGCCAGGGAACTCCCGCCAGGCATGGTATTCTTGCCCATCCCCTTCCTGGGGTTCTTGGTCTCCCCATCTGCCATGTTGATATTCTGGTCTCTCCCACTTAGGGTTCTCCAATGCCTCCCCCACTGTGCAGCCTGCCGCCTCTGGGCATCTAGGCCCTCCCACCTGCTACACGGGGGCCTCCCGCATAAAATCCCTGCCGCTCTTCTCCCACATATACCCCAACTCACCAGGGCCCCACTGGAGCCAGGGCTGGGGCCAGAGGGTGTAATTGTGCTGTTCTCACTTACAGTGGGCTCCAGTGCTGCAGGGCGGTGGTAGAGAAGAAAAATGAATCCCCATCTATCCCTTCCCATCTGGAAGCATGTGCATCTTCCTGGGCCATTTCCCCTCGTTAGAACTCTGCCCTTTTGAGTCTTTCATTCTGTGAGCGGCCTCCACACAGGGGCTGGCCCCGCTGATTTGGCCCCACAGGGCACCCCTTACCCAGGGGAGCCCGGCGCTGAGTAATCAGCCAACAGCGGTCTGCAGTTTGCGCAGAGTTGGGGGCTATTATAATGGATGGTGTGGGGAAGCCCAACCCTCCCCCCAACCCCAGCCTCACCTCTCCGGCCCTCCCTCTGCCCTTCAGGATCTGGGCGGATCCTGCATTTTCCCTGGAGTGTCTGACTCACACCTCCCCCCAGGCTCCCGAAACAGGGCTGAAAGGCAGCGTCCCCACCTCTGGTCAACCTGCTCCACCTGGGCTTGGAGCCCCAGGCAGGCCTCCTCCTGGCTTCCATTTCCCCCAAACTGCTCAACCCTACTGAGGCTCCGGACCGCAGGCCTCATCTCCCGGCAGCTCACAATTCCGCCCAACTCAGGAATTCTCCTAGACCAACTCCAACCGTCCAAGGAAGGACACAGAAATTCTACGCCCCCAACCCTACCCCAGACCTAGGCATCGCATGCCCGCTCCTGGGTTCTTGCCCTCTCAGCGTCCCAGGCACCCAGCGCTTCTAAGCCCGGACCCCCAGTGCCCCCGACCGGTACCTACTTTGCCCCCAGACCCGGCCCCAGCGGGTCAGCAGCAGCGGCAGGCCGAGTGCCAAGAGCAGCCCCAGGCCGGGGCTCGCCATGGGCCGGGTGACGGGCTGGTGGCACAGGGGACAGGGCTTGTCGCGCGCGCCGCTCCTACCGCATCTCGGGCGGTGGGGGGGGGGTACCTTCGACCCCGCACCTGGGGGCTGGAAAGGAGAAAGGCCGGAGCGTGGGGGAGGGGGCCGGACCCGAGCGCAGGCCCCTGGGAGGGGCGACCCGCGTCGGCCACCCAGGAGTCCTGCCCCGCCCCCCGTCGCCAGAGGTCAGAGATTAAAGATTAACTCGGGGCGGCGCGTTCTTGGGCTGGGGAAAGGGGAAGGGAAGGGAAGGGGGGAGGGGTGGCAGGCCCAGCCGCGTGACCTGCCTCCCTACCTGGCCCGGGCGTCTTCGACCCCGCTCAGGGTCCCGATCCCGGTCCCTCGCTCGAACCCTCGATCCGTCGGTCAGTGGCTCGGTCGGACTCTTCCAGCTCCGCCGGCTCACGTGACCCGGAAAGTTTAGTCACTCACCTCGGAGGTGAGCGCACTTCCGGCTTGTGCACCTGAGCCTAGATGAAAGGGCGGGGCCAAGCGGGGGCGGGTCCGCGCCGTGGACGCACCTGTAACGGGAACCCAATCTCATAATCGGGAGGAGTGAAAAGGAGCGGAAGCGCGCAGGTGTAAAAGGGGCCTCTCACCTGCACTGCAGGTACATCTGTAGAATCGTCCAGGTGTGGAGACACACGGGGCATGGAGTCACCGATGTGTGAGGCACTCCTGTCTGGGGCAGACCGGGATGGGGAGCCTCTAATGAAAAAACACTGGTGTGGGACACACCTGCATGGGAACAAACGTGTAAAGAAATCTGCACGGATGTGTAAGAACACCCATGGGAGACATCTGCTTTGAATCACATCTCTTTGGAGTACAGCTGAATGGAAGCCTACCTGTGTGGAAAACAGCTGTATATAGAACACACCTGCATGGTTACAAACACCTGGCTGAGGCACTTTGGCGCGGGGTACATCTGTTTGGGGAATGCATCTGCATGGCTCACCTATGAAATGAACAAGACTTGCAGAAGGAATTCCTGTGTGTAAAGGTATTGGAAACACCTGTACGAGACATACCTGCATTTAAGTACACTTGTAGGGGACCCAGTTATATGGAAAGAGCCCCGTACGGGTGAATGATTAAATGGAACACACGTATGGCGGGGGAGGCTCTATGACGCATTCCTGGGTGGAGGAACACCTGTTGAGAAACATACCTGTGAGGTGAAGGAAACAGCTGCATTGAATTGAGTTCACACGAGAGGAAGACCTGAGCACGCCTGCATGGGGCACACTCACATTGAAGCACATCTTTGGTGGGGGGGCTCATGTGTTTTGAGGTCCACCTGTCAAGGATGCATCTGTGAGAAAACATTTGTTTGGGGCATCTCCGTGGGAAAATATCTGTACGGCACCTGCAAGGGCGACCTGTGAATGAAAACATCTGTGAGGGGACCCTCTACAAGAGGCTCGTTTGAGCACACCTGTCTGGGCAGAAGCTGAGTGGGAACCATGTGTGCCTTCACGATCGTCCTTTGGATAAAGGACGAAGATAATAAGACGACCCCCTCCTGGGGACTCTAGAGAGAAGAGTGATGGTTAAGGGAAAATTAATCCCTTCTAGGGCATAGAGCGATGTTGGGTAAGAATCCCAGGTCTAGTTAAATGTCTGCTTTGCCCCTTCCTGGGCATGTGGACTGCGGTGAGCGGCTTAACCTCCTGTTTCGTCACCTGTGAAGTGGGAAAGCCAGTCCCACTTACCTTATAGGGTTTTAGCGAGGACGACGCGAGGGGTGAGTAAAAGGCCAAGGCTTGTGCAAAGCAATGAATCAACGTTAGCTATTATTATTATTCGCTGTCAAAAGATCTGGGCGCCCCTCCCCCTAATGGCGAATCGAGAAACTGCGCCCTAAACTAGTGGGAGGGACATTTGGCAGGTGCAGCGAGCGCGACAGGCTGGGGCCCCACTTCCAGCAACGCTGTCCTTATCCCCAGCCGCTCCTGGGACTCTGAGATTCCCCCCCTAAGCCGGTCCGGAGAAAGCAGTCTGCTCGGCGTCTGGATCCGGCAGAGGCCCCTTTAAGACTGCTAGGCGAGCCGGGGGCCGCGGGGCCCAAGGCAGTGTGGGGTCATTGGGAAGGCCCCGCCTAGATGGGTGAGCAAGGCGGGACCGCAGGGCACAGCTCCTGAGGCTCTGGCCAATAGGAAACCGACTTTGCAGCCGCGCCACGCGTTGATCTTCTGTTTCCCAGTCTGAGTGGGACCGAGAAAGGAGGCGCGCGGGCAGGAAGAAAACACGGAGGGAGAGCAAGGCGGCTTGGTTTTCTGCTTCTGTGGCCGCTTAGGCAATGTGAAATGAGCGGGCTGGCTGTTGCAGGGCTAGATGGCACAGAGTTGGTTCTGAGTACGTCTAGGGAAACCGAGAACTTTAGTTCCTGAGGAGGATTAGTAGAGGAGGGAGGTCAAGTGGAAAGGGATTATGTAACCCAATCCCTGACATCTCCCTACCTCGTCCCCTTGGGCAGAGGGTAAACTGAGGCACGCAGAAACGGAACTCTGAAACCAGACCTGAGATCATTGATCTCTCGAACCCCCCTTCCGAGAATGAACGTGGTTGCTCCCTAGATTGTGCTAATAAGAGAGCATCCCTGACACGCCCCCCCAGCTCCGCCCCCATCCCCCTCCCCTCCAGTGCGGAGGAGACGCAAGTTCTGGCGCGGGCGGCGACGGCTAGCAGTCACCGCCTCCTACAAGTGCCAGAGCCGGGCAGAGAGCGCGGAGGCTGCGGTGGCAGTGGCCACGGAGCTGGCCCTCCGGGGCCCCTGGGGGGAGGGGGAGCCGTCAAGCCCCCGCTGAGGCCGCCGCTACCGGGCCTCCCCTCCCCCCAGGGCGGGCGCCATGCGGGGGGGCCCGGGCGATGCGGAGCGGCGTGAGCGCTGGGGTCGCCTCTTCGAGGAGCTGGACACTAACAAGGATGGTCGCCTGGACGTCCACGAGTTGCGCCAGGGACTGGCCCGTATGGGCGGGGGCAGCCCGGACCGCGGAGCACAACAGGTACCCTTGCAGGGACCCCCTCCTGGCTCGTGGCGCTGGAGCCCAGCCCGCGCAGGGTAACCCGAGCCGCTGAATGGAGCGCCGGGAGCAGCCCGGGACTGCCTGTGGCTGGACACCAGGACCCGTTCCTAGCTTGGGCGTCCTTGTCCCCTTCCCCCTGACCGCCCGTGTCTGGGCCTAACGGGCTCGCTCAAGACAGGACCACCGAGGCCCCAGGCCTGCAGTTTCGGCTGCCAAACCCGTCCCTCTCCTCCCTCGGGGTGAGGGATGTCTGCCTGGGAATGGGGCCGCTTGCGCTTTCCTGCCCACTGCCCGGGACACACCCTTCTCTGAACTCTTTGCACAACCCGAGACACAAGGCCTGCACCCACCTCCAGGAGACACACCCTCCCCAGCCTCTATGTTTACATTCCCTTCCCTGTCCTTTCCTGGGCTTGGCTCTATGCCCCAGGCTGTCCCAGCCAAGGACCCAATCCTATCCGAGGCCACCCTCAGCTGGGGATTCACCTATCAAAGCAGGAACTTGACCCCAAGCCTGTGCATGTGTCCCCCCACACCTGGAGGCCCAGATGCCACTGGACTGTCTCCATAGCACCCTGAGACCTCCAGTCAACCTCCCACTTTACAAGATGGGAAAACAGAGGCCCTGCAGATGTTCAGTGTGGATGTCATTGCCCCACATTGCCCAGTGCTGTCTCCAAGGAGAGCTCTTGAAACTGCCATGTGGACAAGTTCATATAAGAGACACCTGGAAGGACAGGCTTTCAGAGACAAGAGCCCAAGTCCACCTACTCACTTCTCAGCTCTGTAACCTTGAACAAGTGACTTGACCTTGGAGAGCCTCGTTTTGCTCACCAGGAAAACTGGACAACCACTGTCCACCTCACAGACCTACCTTGGCCTTGGGTATCTTATTGAGGAAAGAGATGATCAAGGGAAGGGGTGACTTCCCCGCCCTGGTCCTCTAGGTGCAGGGCTGGGGGAGGGGGACCTGGGTTCCTGGGGCATAAGCTTGTCTTGCCTCCTCCAGATTGGGGAAGCAGCTTCCCAGAACTCCTTCTGTCCCTTCCCCCCTGCCAGGGCATCTCCCCTGAGGGTGATGCTGACTCAGATGGCGGCCTTGACCTGGAGGAGTTTATCCTCTATCTGCAGGAGCGGGAACAGCGCCTGCTACTTCTGTTCCACAGTCTGGACCGGAATCAGGATGGTAAGGCCCAGGGATGGGGCTATGGGGGCCCTGGAGATGCCAACGGGGTTAGAACTGGCAGTGCTAGGAGGAGGAGGGAGAGCCGCTTCTCCCTGATGACTCACAGGCTATTTTGGGAGCTCTCCTCACCCCCAGCTAGGTGATTCGGGACCCAGCCGGCCTATCCCACCTCCTTTTCCTTCTGGGGTGGGACACTATTATTTATTAGTCTTATTTTTCTGTGGGACAAAGATCCCCCCATATTGCTCCTGGATTCCCTATGAAACAGAGACACCCTCATCGCTTTTTCTGGGTGTCCAGTATTGCCTCTCAACCCCCTGTGGCATAGGGATCCCCATAATTATCCCTGGACTCAATCCTTCATTCATTCATCAAACAGAAGACCCCCTCTAATATGGCCCAGTTCTACCCCTCTGATCCCAGTGGGTCAAGGACCCCCCCAACCCTGCCACAAACCTCACCTTGGGTTCCTGGATCCGCTGGTCTTCTTCAGTATCCCCATTCCAAGCTGTCCTGGTCCTCCATCTTGGGGTCCCTACACACACACTTCCCCACCTTGGGCCCCCTCCCCAGGTCATATCGACGTCTCTGAGATCCAGCAGAGTTTCCGAGCTCTGGGCATTTCCATCTCGCTGGAGCAGGCAGAGAAAATCCTGCACAGGTGAGTAGCAGGATGTCCAGAATCCCAGGTAACTCAGGTCCCCAAGACCCCTCAGCCACCTCGAGCCTCTGAGCCTCAGACCCAATCCCAAGGCAGTGGAGCTGAGATCTTGGCCCAGTTGCTTCCCCTCTCTGAACCTCAGTTTCCCCCTCTGTAAAATGGGGAGCTCCCAGTGCCAAGGAGCTCAGTCTACCCCCCAAATCCACAAGAACCTCACTCAACTCACCCCTGGACCCAGGCACTGATTCTGTCCCACCTGTACCCCTCCCCGCGCAGCATGGACCGTGATGACACCATGACCATTGAGTGGCAGGAATGGCGTGACCACTTCCTGTTGCACTCGCTGGAGAACGTGGAAGATGTGCTGTATTTCTGGAAGCATTCCACGGTGAGGGGGGGGGCGGCTGTCCCAGCCTGGTGGTCGGGCCCTCTTCCCCAGGGCATGGGGGGAGGGGCTGGCTCAGGACTCTAGAAGGAGGAGCCACTGGGAGCAGCCGAGGGATGAGGCTCTGCTCTCCTCTTCCTCCATCTGGGGCTCCCGGGACCCATTTGGGGAGGTGTCTGCCAGCTGATGGGGACCCTTCGGACTTACTGTGGGGCCTCCGGGGGTTCAGGGAAGAAAGGGCTTACCAGATGGGGCATCTGGTCTCCCACCGTCAACCACATGGCTCTCTTTCTGCTGGTTTCTATTCCGCTCAATAAAGGATTCTGCTGCTGAAAAGACAAGTTAGGAAGCCACTGTCTTCAGAGGGTCTCACGGGATCTACTGGAACTTGGGAGGGAGGAAGCGCTCTGGATTGCCATTTCCAGGGTGGGAATCCTTGAGTGGTGCATCTGATAGGATCTGATGGCATCTGGAGGGGTCCATCCATGCGATCTGCTGAGACCCTCTTGGGAGATCCAGAGATTCCCACCCTGGGGGACCCATGAGGGGCTTGGTTAAGAAGTCTGCAGGTGATGGATGCTAGAGGGGGGATGATCTCTGTGGGGGAGACCCCTGGGGATCTGGAGAGACCCCCAGGAGGGATCTGCTGGGCTCCATATATAGGAAGTCCCTGGTAGGACCTTGTGTGGCCCTGGAGGTATCTTCTGGAATTCTTACGTGGGAGACCCTTGGGTGGGATCCTTTGGAGGGATCTGATTGGCTCTGGAGGGATCTTTATGGGGCAGGGGCTTGTTTGTTTTGTCGTTGTTGTTTGGGTTTTTTTTGTTGTTTTGTTTTGTTTTTTTGGCCGTGCTGCACGGCATGCAGGATCTTAGTTCCCTGATCAGGGATCGAACCTGTGCCCCCTGCAGTGGAAGCGCAGAGCCCTCACCACTGGACCGCCAGGGAATTCCCATAATATATATATTCTTAGATATTCTCTTTTATTTATTTATTTTTGGCCACACCACGTGGCATGTGGGATCTTAGTTCCCCAACCAGGGATCGAACCCATGCCCCCTGCAGTGGAAGCGTGGAGTCTTAACCACTGGACCACCAGGGAAGTCCCCTGTGGGGTAGAGACTTGAATAGGATGCTTTGACGGGATTTGGTGGAGATCCCCAGGAAGGATGTTATTATCTTTTGTGGAGACTGTGGGGCTGGGTCTGGTAGGGGTCCAAGAGAGATCTCTTGGGCTCTCCAAGTGAGATTCACTGGTGGACTGGGATTCATTGCTGGGTACCCTGGGATTCATGGGGGAGACGCCCCAGTTTAGGGCAGAGTTGCATCCCCCCAGCCCCACTGGGCCATGACACCCCCAGCCTCTGCATCCCCAGGTCCTGGACATTGGTGAGTGCCTGACTGTTCCGGATGAGTTCTCGGAGCAGGAGAAGCTGACTGGCACGTGGTGGAAACAGCTGGTGGCGGGAGCGATGGCGGGTGCCGTGTCCCGGACGGGCACAGCCCCCCTGGACCGCCTCAAGGTCTTCATGCAGGTGAGGGGCCCTGGAGAGACCCAGCCCCTTCCCTAGGCCTGGACCCCTGGAGGGGTCCCCAGAGCCACCTGGTCTTCCCACCCAGGTCCACGCCTCCAAGACCAACCGACTGAACATCCTGGGAGGCCTACGGAGCATGATCCAAGAGGGGGGCGTGCGCTCCCTGTGGCGTGGCAACGGGATTAACGTGCTCAAGATTGCACCTGAGTCGGCAATCAAGTTCATGGCCTATGAGCAGGTGGGGGCAGGCAGGGGGAGGCGTGGGCTACAGACAGGAGGCTTTGCAGGATTGGCCTGGGGGTGGGGGATGTCTGCAGGTCCCCAGGAGTGGGCATCTGCTCCCCTTCGGGATGCGCCCAGGAGGAGGACAGCAGAGGGAAGGTCCAAGTGCACGGAAGGCCCAACCCCTGAGGTCCCGCCACCTCTGTGTCTCCCTCTCAGATCAAGCGGGCCATCTGGGGGCAGCAGGAGACACTGCACGTGCAGGAGCGCTTTGTGGCTGGCTCCCTGGCTGGTGCCACAGCCCAAACCATCATTTACCCCATGGAGGTGAGAAGGAGGGGCCCTAGCAGAGGCTCCATTGCAGGGCTGGGGGTGGGCCTGCGATAACCCTTTCACTCCAAGGTGGGATAAGCGTTGGGATTATAACTTTGCTTCTTCTTGATTCAGACTGTAGCTCATCAGAGCAATGCTCTTTCATGTGTAGCTGGTCTGGGTATCACAGTAGTGTTGGTTTAGCTGTTTAAATAACAGTTGTGGGGTGCAGCCCTTTATGGATATGACTCATCTAAGGATACTGGTTTCCAGG